CTACACTTGCCATTTTGGGCGGGACTATCCACAATGACGTAGCACGTGCACCGCGTCGCGTCTATGATGCAAGGGTCCCACTCCCCCGCCACCGCCCAGCCAGCCTCGACGGAGGGCTATATAACGCAGGGCAAGATGGCCTGCACTCCTCACCAATTCCACTCACGACACATTTGCATCTCTCTTCTCTTCCAACCACTTTACTTGACGACCTAGTTCACGACTTCCTATCCTTAACAACTCTTCATCATGTCTGGCTCTGACTCCCCCATCACTTTCGGCCGCCACAACGACTTCGTCGCCTCGGACGCCAACAAGGGCAGAATCCCTGGTGCCGACAAGGCCACCACGGGCCACCACTTCGTCGCCGTTGATGTCCCTCGTGGTAGGTTTTGCTCGCATACAGACAATCTAAGCGCGGCTGCTCACAGCAATTTGTTTACAGACCAACAACGGCCGAAGGAGCACTTGCCGCCCTCCACTGGCCGCGACGCACCCCCTGCGGGCATCGAGCCCGGTACTCGGACTTCCCACACCAAGGGTGAGTATCACAGAGATACAATTCGTCGAAGCGAGTGAGCTCACTGTTTAATGACAGGCCTTGAGTCCGATATCCTGAACGCGAGGGCAGCTGCAGGCCGCGAGCCTTCCCCGGTCCGCCGCATTAACGGCGAGCCTCAGCCCCTACCTCCCGCACCCGACTCGCGAACGGTCATCGATAAGGATCCGTACGCGACGCCCACCGCCGTTGGCGACACCCTTACCGGCGCGACGTCGAAAGACGTGCACAACCACCTCGGACACCCCGGCTCTGGCATGAGCAGCGCGGAGATGCACCATGACGGCTCTTCGCACCGCAAACGCCAGATGCGCGGCACAGAGCAATTTGGTTCGGGCGAGATCCCGAGGGAGATTGGCTCCGAGGCCGAGCAGCCCGGCGAGCTCTACAAGAGCGGGACGGTCATGGGCACGCAGGAGCGGAGGATGCGGTAAAGGGACGACGTCATTGATTGTACCATTGCAAAACATCTGTATTTTTAGTGTCTAGTGCATCTATGGACTGGGCTTCTTGACAGAGTTTGAAATTTGACGGTGAATGACGACTCGATTATTGTGCATCTGTCAAGACATGTGTACCGAATTCGTGTGCATTCATGCGTTGGTGAAGACATATAAATTGGTAGCGATACAGCTCAAGAATAAGGCTAGGGAGGGTCGGGAGAACGAAGAGTTGCTCGGCGGGCGCTGCTCCACGAGAATGCCGAGGAAGTCGTCGCGTAGAGTTATGAGGCGGGACAGTCTGAATCGGTGGTCGTCCGGTGGTGGTCGAGAGACATTGGTTCGGGGATGGATTCAACTTCCAAGGGTAGGGGAGATCACGTGACATAGCAAGTACTCAGGCTGACCCATGGCGTGCAGCATCATATACGGCAACGCAGTTTACACTAATCCATGTATATGTCACGGTTCGATACTGTGGTACTGCAATTGCGTATCCACTGCGAATGGCCTGGGCGGATGGCACGGATACTGTTACTAGGTATGTTCGAGCCCAAGTAGTATCATCCTAGGATGCTCATATCTCGTGGAGTAACCCATAAAACCTGCTTATGATCTGCCTCACAGATCTGATGCGACAAAAATGTAACCTGAAGAGTAACGCCTGGACCGCGGCCACAGCGGTATCGGACGAGCACGCTCGGCAGCTACACATTGTTATGGGCAGGGTCCCTGCGTTCGAACCACCAGCATGATCATTCTACAGGGTATGCACGGCCATGTAACACCACCTTGTCTCCTTCGCGTCGTCTCCTAGCTAAGCAAAGTTGTCCAAGAGGTGCGCAATTGAAGATGTTCCAGGCGCCGGTCATTTACGAGGCCAAGCTGGCAGGATCATCTCGGTGCGCTCTAGTGGCCCGCGCAAAAGCCTGCAACAATAGCATGCCGCGGTTGGACCCATGGACCCACCGCTCACGGCCCATGCGCTGAAAAGCTATGCGCCATAGCACAAAGCTCACGGGCTGTCTCAGCCCCGCGGCTGGTCGCCAGACTACTATAAAGCCCCCCTACCTGGCCCCCCAAGTCCCATCATCGGACACACACTCCCCCCCTCCTCCTCAGAGCTCGCTACCTCTAGCCTGCATCGCATCTCCGACACGCTCGCAGCCATGCGAGAGCCTCCAACAACGTGCCCCCGACGGCACGGCTCCCATCCGAGGAGTCCGCACCCTCTGTCAGACAAACCTCTCAGACCAACATTGTATCCCCAGCATTATCAACACTCACCAGCACCTCGCTGCGCGCTACCGCCGAGATGCATTGTACGTGCACTATGCTAACGTGCTGTCTTTCTGTCGTCTCTGACCTGTTATGCCAGCCTCTCCAACTGGCCTAAGGGATTGGCAATCGCTAATGTCGTGGAAGCCCCATGGCTATAGCCAGAGCGGGCCCTCGATCTTCAACACCAATCGTAGAGCCTTACTCTATGAGCCCCTACCTGAATCCCGGTTGCTCTCAGAGTCGGGCGGGCAATCCCTAGGCTTCATGGAGTCCAACCCACGCTCATGCCCATGCTGCGCGGGACTGACGCGACCCCGCCCGCGTGAGATGCAGAGAGCCTCACGTGCTCGTGTCGCGGCAGGTCCAGAGGCAAGGGGAGCCGGCTCAGGTGGGGTGGGACCGGAGGGAAGGACGATGTGGGCAGCAGGCGCAAGGCATGCTGCAGATGTCCTGGCTGGTTTGCAGGGCAGCCCCCACTCCCTTCCCTCGCACCATACCCCGCAGAAGACGCCGCCGTGCAGGACGCGGACGACTATGACGACGCGTCGTCTCGGCTTCTGCGTTGCGAAGACCTCCTTCCTGGCGCGCATGCAATGTTCCAAGAACATGTTTGGGCTAGGATCGACGCCCGCCCGCCCTCCGATTCTGGGAGTCTATCCTACCCCCAACAATCTTCTTTTGTTCCCCCCCGCATCGCTGACCAGTCCGCTTCAGGACTGATCCTCCCGACCGTCACCTATTCAGCGCACCCATCTCCTTCTCCTACGCCAGGTCCAGCACCCTCGGCATGGTGAGTGTATCTCCTGTGTTTATTACAAGCCCATTCCTTATACTCTGCTACCAGTTAGTCTGCGATCGTTCAAGGACGCCGTTCCCACTGCATCCACATCGCCTCCGATATAGAGCGCGCGCCGATGCTCAGCGCGGACAGCCCAGCCCAGGCAGCAGAACGATTGTTGGAACACCGGCCACAACAGTGAAGAAACTCGGTAGGTACTCTGATAAGTCGGAAGTCGGCATGTTTTTGATCGCGGTTGCTCGTCAATGTAGATGACATCGAAGCAAACGCCTGCGCTCGACCCCTCTCCGTACCTGGTTTAGCCACATTACGATCTCATACTATCTACCACCTAAAATATGTAGACAGTTTGAGATACCTATTAAAGACCCACTTTATTCCGTCTAACAGCCTCGACTCTCGAGTCATCCTAAATGGCATACACACAAATATATTCGCGCATGGAGCAATCACAGTAGCGCAGGGCCACAGATCATCAGACGGCTGAAAGCGCAATCCCGTTTTTATTGATACAGATAGCAATAACAATACAAATGAATAACGATATGCGAGGGAGAGCGAGAATCTGTGAACGAAAGCTGGTGAAGGCGCTGCCCCGGCGAGTGGAGAACGAGTGTTGTAGCGAGGGCGAGGTTCTTGAAGTCATAGAGAGCAGATGATAATGGGCGTGCAGTGGTTGGGAAGGTTGGGGTTATTCATGAGCGCATGACGAGGAGGGCGGTGGTGACGATGGCGGCGACGGCGATGGCTAGCACCAGCACGGCAACGAGGCAACGCTTCGCCCACTTGATCTCCGTGCGGCGCATCGACTCAATCATCTCCTGCCGCTCGTATTCAGGCTTCGCGGCCTCCCAGTCCTCTGGTGCCTGCAGCGGCGAAAGGAGGATGAATGCGCCTGCTACCCAGAATAGAGGGAACACTGGAGAACAGGCGACTAGATTAGTGTCTTGTCCAAGTATACAGGAAAGCAGATAAGATACTCACGGAAGCCAAACTTGAAGAGGTACATCGCAAGGGTCGGCTGGTCCGACACCTGCGTGTACGACGGTGGGTCGATCGAGCACTCGTATGGCGGGGGCGGCAGTGCGGCCTCTGCGTCCACCAGAGTCGGCGCGTGAGCATCGTCGTGGCGGCTGTCCCGGGTGCCGGTGAGGCTGAGGGTGCGACGCGAGCTCGAGGGACGCGGACGGGAGACTCCGAAGAAGTCGTCGATGGGGTCTGTGGCTAAGTCCTCAGCGGAGGTGGAGGCATTGGTGCGCGACGAGTGCGTGAGCACGGGAGTGGGCTGGGGAAGCTGTGCCTCGATGTCGATTTGGGCTTGGGGTGTGGCCGGGCGGTCGAAGAGGCCGAAGATGGTCGGGCGAGAGGTGGAGGCTGTGGAGGAAGACATTGCTCGACGCTATGTATGTAGAGGTGGCGGGCTAGGTGACGCGAGAACGAGGAGATTGCGTTGGTTGAGAGAGCTCGAAGGCGGATGATGAGACCATGGCAAAGAGGACGGCGGGCTATATAACCTCTGCAGAGCACTGAGCTTGGACGATAAAGCAATCCCGAAGCAATCCAAGCGGACAGAGCGAAGAGTGTGGCCGATGGAGGCAATCCTTGTAGCGCTCGGTCGCCAAGCTCCGGCGCTTGGTACGGATTGCCTCCCTTGCGCGCTTACCCCGGCTTCCGCCAGCAGGCGCCGACCAAAGCGCTACAAACAATTGCACACCTGCCACGCCACGCCCTCCCCGTCTGCAAAGCGACGGCTCTCGCTTAGCGGGGTGGTGCCGTAACAATACAACCGCTACTTGTCAGGAAGGTGTTGCGAGCCATGCTCGCTTACGCTTCTCGCGCATGCCTCCACACGAGGCTACCGAACGCTCTCCCCTCAGAGATCATACAGTAGCAGAGCCTAACAGGCAAAAAGTATGTCACTAGCCCACCGCGGGGGTCGAACCCGCAGCCTTCAGATCGCCCTGTCCTAGTGGACGGATAAAAGTCTGACGCTCTATCCGATTGAGCTAGGCGGGCTTACCTGTGTAATTCACCAGTACAGCCATATCGACACAAAGAATGCTTGTGAGGCGCGCAAGACTGCTTACCTAACATCGAATCGCTCAATGGGACACAAGGGTTCGAAGTTGTAGCCAGGAAAAAGAACCGTTAGCCCACCGCGAGGGTCGAACTCGCAGCCTTCAGATCGCCCTGGGATGCCATGTCGGACCCTAAGAGTCTGACGCTCTATCCGATTGAGCTAGGCGGGCGATGTGTGGACATTATCCGTGGCATCTACAATCAAACGCAAGTTCCGTGTGAATCTCCGGCGCATCTCCCGTGAAGGGAAACGGTCTCCGCCCTCGGGTCCTATCCTCGGTACCCCAGCTGAACTGACAGGAGATTGAGCAGTACTGGATCTCGATGTGCGACCGAATGTTGCGGAGGATGGGGCCGGATTTCACGATCGTTCGGTTTCGGTCCACTTCACATTGCGGCGCTACCGAGTAACGCCATGGCGGGTCCGGCGTTGGTGATGGCCTGAATCAACAGGGCGCGACGCCGGCTGTAGACTGTCGCGTCGTGTACTGCGTCCGGACGACACGCATGCAGCGTGCCCGAGGTGACCAGATGGCAGAGACGGACATCAAGCGAGCGAGGTTGGAACGAGGGACTCGTGGGCGTCAAAAGGGATGTGTGAGTTGCCTTATATGGAGGCGAAGGAAAGAGGACTTTCATCTGACCGAGAGGGGTGAAGAGGACCCTCGATCTGGAGACGTGGACTGGGTGGAAGCGTCGGTGGAAGGACGAGTCTCTTTCTCGCGTTGGGTGGTGTCACGTTGGGCGCGTCATGGACCACGACGCAGACCAGACGGACGGCGAGCGGCGAAGACATGTGCCGAATACGGTGCGTCCATGCAGTGCGCGTGGTGGGAGGATCGTCCGTGCCACTGCGTTCGCCGTCCGCTGGCGTCTGCTCTTGCCCAATGCGGTGCAATGTGCTATCGTTCTTCCCGATCCGGACAGCTGTGTGGCATGGACGCAGCTGGGGCTGTCGAAGAGAAGACGGCTGTGATGGACGCCATGTCCTGACTCCTCGCACGTATATATACCGCCCCGCCCCCGCCCCCCGCCCTCTTCCCCCGTCTGCACCCACATCGTCCAAGCTTCCCAACTCTAATCGACCGATTACAAGCTTACCCAATACCCGTAAATAGTGTCCGTTTCACTTCGCAAGTCCCCGTCGACATCCTCTGTCCGAATACACCTACTCTCTGCATACTACTTCCCCTCACTCTCCGTCCTCCCTCTTTTTTATATCCCTTCTAAACTCGCATATCCGAATAATCTCCCCCTCTCGCACCCAGCCACATAATGTCCAGCTCTCCCGCTCTCGCACAGCTTTCTCCCTCTCGCTCTCCTTCGCTCTCCTCAGCTTTCGTTCGTCCGTCTCCTCGCGACACTCCGTCAACGCCTCCAGCCTCGACCGGATGCCCTTCGCACGCTCCGCCTACCCCACCAGACTCATCATCTCGCGCAGCTCACGCAGCGTTGTCCCCTCGTTCAGTCTCAAGCTCTGCACAGTCTCCCGCTCGCTCACTCTCCTCTACTCTCTCTGCCGCCGCTCCTCAGTTCCAAACACGCCTCTTAGATACTCCCATCGACATCCACGTTTTCGAATCTCCCGGACTGCACAGCCCAGATTCAGTCTCACCCGCCATAGCGCGCGACGGCGCTCCCTCCGCATACAAGCCCGGCGAGCGGGGTAGCCCGAGTACGTCACCGGAGTGATTGTACCCAATCACTCGAATCACTGACTGATATCAATCTACAGCACCAACTCAAGACAGCGCTTCGTTCAAAGGCTCGCATGACGCGTTGCCCCCTGCGTTTGTGCCAGCCGCTGCTCGACCGGTACAAGCGCAGCAGCCAGAGTCGATTATAGCTAAGGTCCCGTCCAACAACAGCCAAGACGATGAATCGCATCCTCCGAACGTATACATCAATGGACTCCCTCCCAACTTCCCAGAAGAAGATCTTCTTGCTATGACTCGTCCCTTCGGAAGTGTGTTAAGCGTGCGCACCTTCACGCGTCATGTCAGTGACAAACCGTCGTAAGTACGCAATCTGTTACTCGTGCCCTCCTGTGCTAGGGGTTTCCATGTATGCCAAGGGCATCGTGATCTGTGTCGGTGGCATCGATCGCTCTCTGTTGACATTATGACTGACTGTTTGTTCTCTATCGAACGATTGAATGCAATCAGCGGATACGGATTTGTCCTGTGAGTATTTTGATCCGTTTAACACCTCCCTGGTCCCAATCATTCTGATCCCCGATGCATAGTTTTGAGACACTGGAGGCGGCGGAGAACTGCATCGAGGCGCTGCGGAAGTATCGCAACCTTCATCCTTCATTTTCCAAGGTTTGTATGGACTTTGAGTGTATGCGCTTGCTATCATACTCATCGGTTCGTTAGCAAGTACACAAGATCCCCGGTACTGCTTATGCATCTGTACCCTCGGCGTCCAACGCTGGCCCTGCCGACTCCTTCAAGGCCCGAATGGAGCAGCTGCGGGACACAGCTTCGACGAACCTATATATGGAGGGTCTACCACTGGATACCACCGAAGATGCCGTCCGCGCGCTAGTAACGCCATACCACATCATGAGCTCGCGGTTCTTCCATACCCGTCTGAACAACCCCCCTAGGCTCATTGCATTCGTCAGGTGAGACCACATCGTCGCGCTATACTATCAGCAGACCGCGAAGTATTAAATCATACCCTGGCCGTTCGTCTAGGCTAGAATCTCGGCAGGCTGCGGAGGAGATCATCGAACGCCTGCATGGACGTTTAGTGCGAGGGTGGAACGATGTGGGCTGTAGGATATCCGTGAGATTCGCTGATACGCCCGAACAGCGTGAACTGAGGGTGCGTACCTTCGGACCAACATCACGTTTGTGTAACCGTGCTGATAGATCCCTGGATGTAGCGTACGGAGCGGCATGGTCGTGAAGACGAACAGTCCCCGGCCAAGATGACGATGGCGCATGCTGCGTTGCTCAACCTGAAAGGCACCGCCCAGTATCAGCCCGACCCACAGTCGCCCACTCTAGGAACCCCCGAGCTCATCGGCCTCCAAAGTCCTAACCTCGGACTTGCCCTCAACAATCTCAGTCTTGGTCATCTAGGCGGGCCCGTTTCTGTCACATCGCCTCTTCACCCTCAAGAGCCGTTCCATAGCGGTGCATCCCTACGCCAACAGAGTCTTCCTCACATCGCCAACAATGTTGCTGCCGTCGATATGCTGAATGCTCAGGCGACTCATGCCCCTGGATTGGACCTTCGCCTTCCTCAGGGAGTTCTGCAGGACAACGTCAATGGTGTCCTCGACGAACAAACACAGCTACGGCTTGCCCTCATGGGCATGCAAGGCCTTCGACGTGGCACACAGCAAGGCTACACCCCGGTGGAGCGACTCATCCTGCAAGCGCATTCTCGACAGCAGGCGAATGCCCTCGGCACCGGCCTTGCCAACGGCCAAGCTCACTCCCAGAGTGCTCGGGCTGGTGCCCCGAGGCTGAACACCGTAGGTTCTGTCCCACAGGACCTCAACCGCCACCTTCTAGACCACCTCCCTTCCATGTCAGAGGACGACTTCCATGCCTCTGCAGGTCTGCTCCGTGATCAACGCGTCATCTCACCCGTACTCGGCCGTGACGTCGAGTCTGGCACATACGGTCGTGTGAGGAGAGACGTGCAAGCGACCTCTCTAAACCTTGGCTCTGGTTCTCAGCCTAGACCACGTAACCACACCCTCGCTACACAACTCCGTGGCGAAGGACGGGATCAAGGCGTCCATACGCGTTCCTCTACACATCCTGCACAACACCTCCACCAGGCTCAGACTCCGCAAACCCTCGGCATGCCCCTATACGACTCTAAGACTAGTCTCGGACGCAGTATCCTTCTCGATCAGCAACTCCGCTCAAACGTCAACAGTAACAGTTCCCTTCTCTCTTCTCTCGAAAGCCAACGCGCCTCTCAACCCAACATCGCCACTACCAACCCCTCGCGTCACCTCCCTGCCCAAGGCCTCGGCTCGAACGCTCAGACAAACACCCATATCCTATTCACCAGCAAGAGCAATATCAATCTACCACGTACTAGCTCCCGCGCGAAAGGGAAGAACCTCACTTCCAGCGCTGACACTGCTTCCTCTACCTCGGCACTCACTCCGGTTGTTCAGGCGTCCAACCCTGCCGCGCAACTCACAGGTCGCGTAACGGGGAGTGCGCAAGAGGGCCCACTTTCTCCCGACACCGATGCCGACGATGAGGGCTCTCCGGTTGTGTCGCCTGCGCTGACCTACTCGACTAGAACGCCTGCGACGCTGAGTCCTGCGACGCCATACTCCGGTTTCTTCTCAGATGGAGGAGACGCGTTCAAGGGAGGTGCGCTTCGCGCAGGAGCGGATGGCCTTCGTAAGGATGGCGTAGAGCAGCAGGAAGTCCCGGCTACGAGCGGAGTGGGTCAGTGAGTGCCCCTTCGCCTCCACGCTACATCGCAAGTACACATCTTGAGACACTACTAGACACCGACGTGTATGATCATGTTGTATCATTATAGGCGACCCAGTCCACCACGTCTACAGTGTGTAGCGGTATGCAGTCTGGCTTGTATCATGTACGAGTACCGAGAAGTAATGTCCAATTCTAGCAGACATGTTTCTAGATCTCGCGTAGCTTCGCCTCGGACAAGGTCGTTACGCAAATCCTCGGTTGATGGAATAATCAATTGCCCAGGGCAAGACGAGAAGTACGAGAAAACTTGCCAAATGGGGCAAGTTCTGAGGGTGGGCGTTTGTTTGGCACTCTTTGTTCCCGTCGCCTTCGCCTGTAGCCCTGGCCTTCGCAACAGACGCCGATCGATTGCCTCCGTCGGGCACAATCCACTCGCTCGATTGCCCCCAAATTGCTTCTCGCGAAAGGATATATAGTCGCCTGTCCGTCCAGCCATGCCCTCCTCATCAGCCA